AAAGCTGGAAATCTGAGCCTAATTCAGTGGCTCTTCATTTGTGAGTGATTTTCCACACATTACTGCACTTTATTATTTAAAAATGGCTATATTGCACTATGTTTTGTCTCTAGGAATACATTGATCCAGGAATTATTCTAGTTCCAAAAGACAGATACTCCACCTTATATTGTCAGGGTATTTATATCGGCAGACATCTTGTGCTATGATAGAAATTAAAAGTGTATATTCTGAGTCACTCTGAACAGACCAGACTCCATTTTGTTATTTCCAAGTTAACAAAAGACACAAGATTTCTATCTGTAAAACTAACCACTTTGCCAGAGCTAAAGGAATGCATAGTATAAACAAACCAAGTGATAAGGAGAACGGGGGTTGGACAGACTGTCTAAATGCTAATGGAATATAATCAATTCTAAACCCAGACATTTGTGACAGAGGAGATTAAATAATAAAATCTTACTTTCTATATGTACAAGGTCCCATTGTAAGTTACGGGTCAAAACTCAGAATTTGCCAGACACATAGTCTGGACAAAACTTAAAGAAACTGTTTGAAGTGACAGCAAATCTAAGTTATAGCAAACATAAAGATAGGCCAAAATGACGTCAAAATAGCCACCAGGAAAAGTTAACTCTTTCCTGGATAGGTATGTTTAGTGGGACAAGACTGCCCTCTATAGACCAAATACCTAAATTGCGATCCCTAGATAACCACACCTCTAGTGCTTCTATTGGGTTATCAACTGATGACGTACAGAGAGTCTGGCCCTTTAAAAGTTAGGACAAAGGGAAGATAGAGGGTATGCAAAGGAAAAAGAGGAGAGAGGAATTGGAAGTTTGGGACTCCAACTCGGACATGCAGAGAAACCCAGGACAACATCTGAGACTAACACTCTACTCTTAAAACTCTAACACTTAGAATTTTACTGACTTTCTAACCAACACCACCTTTCACCATAACTCATGCACTTACAGACATCCAAATAAGTTCCTGAGACTATCTACCAATCGGATGAAATATCTACTCAACTGGTAATTATACTGGTTTCATTTAATTAAATTAATTAAAATTTACTAATAGCATGATATATGACTGGATAAATTACAGTCAGATTTCCATATTTAGAAATCTTAGTTAACTAAAGAATATATAGTTATAAACATTCCATTCTGCAGGTGGAATTAAGAATAATTATATATTGATGTGATATTATCACGTGTTAGCATACTGCTGTTTTTATCCAGGTGTATTGATTTGCTCTAATATAAGATATCTTTTTAGGCAAATAAAAATTCTGCTTTTGTAAAAATCATGGTAGATTCTCTTATTGGATGGTTCCAGGAAATGACTAATGAACTGGTTTAAATGTTATTTTATTTAAAATTACATAAGAATAGATCTTAACTACCTAGGAGATCTAGCCAGCATTGAAAGGGTTATTCTAACTGTCAGCTAAACTTTACGACCTTACGCTGCACTCTGAGGAATTCTGTTCTCTGCGTGAAACTTTTTCTTTCTCTCTGTGAAAGATAGTCATAAAGTAAGTCTTGACAGAAAATGCTGTTTAGCCACTGAAACGTGTATAGCCATTCCTTTGTATTGCATACCATCTTTTACTGGATATTCATTGATTATCGTCACGCATGTTACATATTATTATTATTAATTAACTTGTTATTATAAATAAAATCTATTTTTATAACATTGTGATTTAATTATATGAAATACTTTCCACTTAACACGATAAACGATCTTTGGATCTGAGAATTGAATTAGTGGGCAATTCTCACTGTTTACTATTATTATCCCATAAATATCCCCACAATATTGTATGCAGATTATTTACAGACAATGCATTAACTTTAATGTACGGTTTCTCCAGGTTTATTTAATGCATTATCGAACTTTTTAATTAAAATAAAACAATGAGTCCATACCAGGCAGCAAAAGCAGAGCAACAGACCTCTAGTAAGGGTTAATAGCATAGAGAAAGAAGAATGTCCACGGGTGTCTAGTGGACTCTAGAATGTCCAAACCCAGAGGTGTACCTAGACTTTCTCCCCCCTTCCCTCCCTTAGTACGCCACTGTCCAAACCCTCCTTGTTGAGAGCAACCATCCTGGTCTGATTTGCATTATGTATTTAATGGGTACAGAAGGATTATAAAAGATACACCGCACACTCATGCAAACATCATTCCATCCCTGCAAGGTCTACGCATCTATCACTGTGTGTGGGGTGCACCCTAAAAATGAACATATTGTTACAATAATAAAACCCCAAAATCTTGGAAGGGGACACAAGGAAGGAAAGGGTCATCTGCAACCTCCAATGTTGGGATGAATCCAATCTTTTTAGCTTATCGAGCAAAGTATCTCTTCAATGCATGAAAGGAACAATCACCATTAATTACTGTGAATGTGGCACGCAGTGTGAAATCAGCCAACACACAGGGTGCATTCTGTAAAGACTCATTCCTTTATTTTAGAACAACAGATATACAATACAGTCTGTATCTCGCCTCCCTCCCAACTTACAAAATAATAACAGGGCAAGAAATATTTGGCCAGCAAGGGTCCCTCACACACTTTAAGGTGAAAACGGGACCATTCCAGCAGTCTGGGTGCAAATTAAAACAAAAAGAAAAAAAAAAAACGAAATCAAAACCTGAAACTTTAAATTCAGTGCAGAATTCCCTAAAACAGGGATAGAAGGGCCTTTCCTCATTGTGAAAAGGACTGGCACATACTCTAAATTACCACTAGGTGGAGACAACTCCAGCTCCACTTAGTGGCCTGGCATGAAAGAGAATTTAGCATCAATTTGGAGATTTCTAAGTACAAGAACTAGATTAAAACCAACAGAATGTGCAGTATCTCTGGAGGAGGGGATCTGACTGACACAGTGCAGATCGAAGCAGGAATTAGCCAATGTATCCACCAGTCCCACCCACGATTCCATATTGCTTCTTACAGCTAAGTTACCCAGAGATTAAACATTACTAGTGAACCTGTGCACTCAGCGTATCATCGCCTGTGAGCCTAGCACAACGTTCCCAACGAGCGTGCCCGCTCAGAGCTAGGCTGAGCTCTCGGGAGTAATGTTACTAGCTAGGCTGAGCTCTCGGGAGTAATGTTACTAGCTAGGCTGAGCTCTCGGGAGTAATGTTACTAGCTAGGCTGAGCTCTCGGGAGTAATGTTACTAGCTAGGCTGAGCTCTCGGGAGTAATGTTACTAGCTAGGCTGAGCTCTCGGGGGTAATGTTACTAGCTAGGCTGAGCTCTCGGGGGTAATGTTACTAGCTAGGCTGAGCTCTCGGGGGTAATGTTACAAGCTAGGATGAGCTCTCGGGGGTAATGTTACAAGCTAGGCTGAGCTCCCGGGAGTAATGTTACAAGCTAGGCTGATCTCTCGGGAGTAATGTTACAAGCTAGGCTCAGCTCTCGGGAGTAATGTTACAAGCTAGGCTCAGCTCTCGGGAGTAATGTTACAAGCTAGGCTCAGCTCTCGGGAGTAATGTTACTAACTAGGCTGAACATTCTGTAATGTTACTAGAAAGCTTATCGGGTCTGAAGCAGTATTGAATAGAGCCAGAAAGATGGATAAATCAGATTATTCTGCTCACAGTTTTGGCACACATCTGAGGAATTTTCACTAAAGGAAGAATCTGTCAGTCCAGCATTCAGGGTGTCTATGGGCCTGTCTCTCCAGATATAGCCGGGATACTGACAAACTGGGGCCCTCTGCTAGACAATAGGAGAAGAGAGTGCATTGGGCAAGGATTTGGGAACCCAGGGACGGTGGCATTCCTTTCTGGAGAGTTCCACTAAACCAGGGATCTCAGAACCTTCAATCAAAGCAAGGTTTTAGGATCTCAGAGCTTCAGCTGGCCTGAGCTGGTCCCTGCACTACTGTGAGTGAATCCTAAACCCATACGTTTGTGAGACTTGAGGGCCCTCTAAGAACCTAGCGTCAAGGCACACAAGCTTTGCTCAGGGATCGGTAAAATCAGCAAAGGATTCTGGGACTTCTCATACCACAAGAAGACACATTGCTAAACTACCTATATAGATTTGGATACCCGTACACAATTATACTAAAAGTCAGATGTAGCTACAATGGTGCCAACATGCACAAACAGAATAGCTTTCTTCCATTAGAGGCATATGGAGATTTGAAAGGAAAAAGACAGGAACATGATTTGCCACGTTTTGAGCCTCCAGGTGAAAGGGAAGGGGCATTATTTCATTATAAATCTGGACTACCTGACAGTTCTCTGCACATTTTTCATCAGGTTATGGGCATACGGGTATCACTGGGCACCATGCCACACTGCACTTCCCCCAAAAAAATAAAAATAAAAAATAAAGATGTGCATCGTCAAGAAGTCCATCAGTCCTTTGCTTTATCAATCAGCTGGCATGACAAGACACATTGAACTAGTGCCTTCCACCGGGGGGAGCTCTGAATGGGAAGCACTGGAAACCACCCTCCAGATGACAAGACAAAAACGCGTTACCAGCAAAGCAAGAACTGGAAAAACAACATCCCTCCGCGTCTCCACACTGCAAATACCTACAGGGACTCTGCACATGCAGGATTCTTCCTCTGCATCAAAAACGAAATCGAACAGTTCTGTGTAAAGTGCCGCAAAAACAAGTAGATTTATATAATGTGTGTTTATATATAAGTGTGTGTGTGTGTGTGTGTGTGTGTGTGTGTGTGTATGCTCAGCATGGATTGCAACACATCCCTCTGTGTCCTTCCCTGTCTCCACCCTTTGGTCCTTGTTCCAAAAAGCAGACATTCCTGTGACCTATGACCTCCACGTGTCGCCAAACTCACATGGCACGGCAATGGGTCTTCTGACTGCGAAGTGACACAGCTCTCCCCATTGGCTTTCTCCCCAGGTATATTTATAGATGATGGAAGAGTCTCCAGTTTGTTCCCCAGGTCTCCATTTTGGGGTAACTGAAGGGGGCACGTGAGGAAAGCAGTTCAAACAACCCTGGCACGATGCAGAATACAGGCCCGGATCCTGTGAGCAGCACCCAGCATCCTGAAAAGAAAGGGGAAGTGGTGAAAGAACGCACATTGCCCCTCTTACCACCACACTTCCATCACATACACACACAGGATTGAAAAACATGGTCACCATTTACAGTGGTAGAATCCTAAGAAAATATGTTATTCATTTTATTACATATACTTTATTTAACAAAGAATATATTTACTTTAAAAATAACAGGATCATTACATTTACAACAAAAACATTCAAAAGGGTACAGGTCACATTTGTACACAATACAAAAAAAAAAATTATATATATATATTTATTTATAATATTATGTTGGGGAAAAAATTGTGATTGAAAACCCCTTCCAACCGAAGTCTGTGGATAGTGAATACTTTGTTGAACAAAAATCTGCACACCAGTCAAGACATAAGACTTGCTTTTCCCACAGAAATCACAAATCTGCGGGGATGTTACTACCGCAAAGGATCCTGGGTGGGCATATGCAAACTAATTTGCATATGCCCACCCAGAATCCTCTGCAGTAGTAACATCACTGCAGATGTTACATATATACACACACATTTCCTAATTCAGCTATTTGACCCAATAGCTCACATTCCTTAGTGACAATATCGTAGCTTGGCCGCTCACAGACAATGATTGTTCAGACACTTCATCTTGCACCGATTACTCACCACACAGCGGATGTCAGTCCTCAGGGTCAGCAACAAGTCGACAATGTAGTTATTACCCATGGAGACACTGGCAATACCTGGACTGTTGCTGGGTCATGAGAGCTGGCTTGGGAACGGCTGGTGTAACTATATCCAGGAAAGCACGTCCCATACCGTGAATGTGAACAGACAGGTTTATGGAGCCTGGAAGCTGCAAGGCAGGACATGTGGGGATCTGTACATACCTTAAAGTAAAGTCAGCCAGGCAGAACTGAGGCTCAATCAGAAGGGTGTTCAGGACAACATCTGTTCACCTCAAACCAGGAATCTATACAGCTGGAAGCATGGAGAAAGACCAGGACACACAGGGCGAGAGAAAAAAAGAATCATTCATTAATGGATGACTATTATTTACCATAACAACTCCAACTTGCTTTGGAAGAGTTTGGCATGTTACCTGGAGTCCAAGTCTCCATTACACCCTACATGGAGCTTCGGTTAGCTCTCCTGAGCGAGGCTGTGCAGTGTAGGGTTAGCTCAACGGCTGAGAGTGTCAGCAATGTGCGCTCAGCCAATGAGCCAAATCCAGCTCTGTCAGAGGTAGTGGAGATGTGAACTGTGCCAGGTGGACCCAGGTAAGAAGTCACTCCAGACACCAACATTTTATATTTTTGGATAAACTTTTTTTTTTTTTTAAATAAATATTAAATCGAAAAATGTATATAAAAAAAAAATTCAATAAATGTAAATATTAAATCAGTATAAAGTGCATTCCAAAATATTAAAGAATTTAAAAATCTTATTCATAAATATTAAAGTCAGCTCTACAGCAAGGATGCTGCAGGACCTTCCCCAGCACACGGCATATTAATAATATATACAACAAGCAGACCATTCAGCCCATATAATCTCCATAAGGGGCTGAGAAGTGATGGGATGATTTATAAACACTGCATTAATACCTACCAGCATTGACAGACAAAAATCAGCACAGTAATGTCACAGCATGCCAAATATTCAGGGACTGATGAAGGAGAGGGCACGACACTCACACCAAGAGGTGCATTATGACACTTCCAAAGGAAACAAAGGAGAGGGGTAGGAGAGTAATGGGCCTCCCCGAGAGAGGTAGAGAGGGAGATCACAGCTATAATAACCGTCCTATGTAACTCTACACAGTCTGTGTCTGGAATTACGGGGCACTGGGTACCTTTTGTGGTAGATGCACAAGCAGGGAAGCCTTGCGATCGTATCCCCTTGTGTCAGTTCTTCCAGGCAAATCACACACTCGCCAGCATCCCTTGTTAACACATCATCTGCAGAGAGATAAGAACAGGCCACGTCTCAGAGAAATAATGGAAAGGTGAGGCTACTGTGAATTTAACTTTCACCCATTCTAGTCACACCAGTGCTGCTCTAACATTAAAGAGCACCTTTAGTTGGTTACTCCACTCTCTGTTACCAGGGGAAATCTAATCATGAAAGCAGTCAGGATAAAGACATAGAACAGCCATGTGAATAAAAGAAATTGCTAGCAGTTCATGGGGTCTACTTACCATTATAGGACAGCCGTGGCTTGCTCAGACACATAATAAAGTGCATCTCAATCTCGTCTGATGCTACAGACTTGGAACAAATAGGACAACGAAATCCTAGACACAAAATAAGGCGAGGAAACCAGATTAGAATAAAACACTTAAATTTTCCTGCTACAATAAACTAGCACACTGCAAGCACCATAACTACTACAATGTCCTGCCTTCTCCAAGGGTAAGTAACCAGTTTGACAACTTACTGAGGGACCATCCAGTACCACCCACCTCTTCCTGTGCTACGAGATGCTCTCTGCATAAAGCTTGGCCCGTGGTGCAGGGGGTAGCTCACAGGCAGAGAATGATCACTCACCGGCCATGACCCAGACTTGCACATCAGGGATCCTATCGGGAGCTTCTGGCTCCAGAAGAGGATGTGACCTGACACGCAGATACAAATCTTTCGAAAAACTGTTTGACTACTAATAGTGGAAGGATGCTAGGACACAGGGGTCTATGATACAGAGGTCAATGCTCGGGTTTCACCGAAAAATGGCTGCTGGGTATTTCTTTTTTAAACTTACGGTTGGCCTTCAAACAGAAACCCAACTGGAAGGCCAGTGAATAAAGGCAGTAGTAGACAGTCACCATAGCCCCATTTGTAAAAAACAGGAGAAAGTAGAGATAGGAATAAGGGAAAATTAAACCGCTCTACAACTGCAGTAACCTCCCCCCTTCCAGAAAGAGGAAGCCCCCCTCTCCATCAAACACTATAGTCCAGGTATAACTATCAGACTTTATGAAACAGAGCTATCCAGCCTTCTAGTCTAGCGGGGAGTTCGTTCCTCAGCCCAGAGAGCTCCCACTGTCACCAGATCTCACCCATTAGTGTCCGAACAACAAGAGGACGTATTTTCAGAGAAGAAAGTGCCTCCAACATATATTCCAGGGCAATCTTATTTAATATCCACAACTCAATGTAAAGTAAAATCAAAATATAAATCAACTTAATTTAAAAGGACACTATAGTCACTAGGACAACTACAGCTTATTGTATTTGTTCTGGTGAGTATTAGCATTCCCTTCAGGCTTTTTGCTGTAAACACTGTCTTTTCAGTTCCATGAAATCAGGCTGAGCGGTCGGTCTTCTTTGGGAGTACAAAATATAATTAAAACCATGAATGTAACTGTTCGTGCGTAATCTGGTTGGGTGCCCCTTGTTCGGGAGTTAGCTCCCCCTGAACGGCTTTCAATTCTAACACCTTTTACCGAACTTCGATGGAGGTGAAAGTTCCATCGGTGTTTGCGCCGTTGAGTTCCATACACTCGATGACCAAACATGGCTCTATGCGTTCCCGGCTAAAGATGGCCGCCGCCACATGGTCGTACATACGAATGGCGACCACCTAGCCGACTGTTTAGAACATTGCGGTTAAGGTGTTCATAGAGGTCAAAAGAGTCAACACGCAGCACACGACTCCCCTGGGTGGTCTGGCTGTTCGGTGTACGAACCAAATGGATATGATCCGTTTGGTGAATCCCACATACCGAACTATAGAAGGGAACAGGCATGAACAAGGCCTTTCCACAGTACATTGGCCCAGTTTTACTACAGGGGCCATAGTCCTGGGGCAGGAGGCTGGCAAGCAGGCTCCTCCAGAAGCCTGTGGCGAGGTTCTGATCGCCACAAATACCATACAGTGTAACCCCTTAGTGACCAGACCGTTTTTCAATATTTTTTTATCGTTTGGGACCAGGGCTGTTTTTACATTTCTGCGGTGTGTGTGTTTAGCTGTAATTTTCCTCTTACTCATTTACTGTACCCACACATTTTATATACTGTTTTTCTTGCAATTAAATGGTCTTTCTAGAGATACCATTATTTTCATCATCTCATATAACTGACTAAAAATTTATTTTATTTTATAAAATATAATAAAAAAATAAACACACTTTTTCTAACTTTGACCCCCAAAATCTATTACGCATCTACAACTGCCAAAAAACACCCGTGCTAAATAGTTTCTAAATTTTGTCCTGAGTTTAGAAATACCCAATGTTAACATGTTCTTAGCTTTTTTTGGAAAGTTATAGAGCAATAAGTACAAGTAGCACTTTGCTATTTCCAAACCATTTTATTTTCAAAATTAACGAAAGTAACATTGTAACACTAATCTGTCAGGAATCCCTGAATAACCCTTCACATGTATATATTTTTTTAAAGAAGACAAGCTAAGGTATTAAACTCGGGGTATTTTGACTCTTTTCATGCAACCATTTTACCACCAATCTATGCCAAATAAAAAAAAAAAAAAAAAAATTGGTGATTTCTTTTGACACACATAGCAACTGAAGAATACATGTACTGAGTACTTTAAGGGTTACTGCCAAAGAACACCCCGATATGTGTTCAGCAACATCTCCTGAGTACAGCGATACCACCCATGTATAGGTGTGTCGGGGTCTCTGGGGGCTAAAAGACCTTATTTGGAGGGTGCGCGTTCCAGTTTTCCAAATTGGAATTGTCACAGCTGGTCATCAGGCACCTATGTCCTATTTGGGACTTTTTTGAAGCCGGCCAATGTAATTTATCCCTATCAAACCATATATTTTTGAAAAGTAGACAACCCAGGGTATTCAATATGGGGTATGTCCAGTCTTTTGTAGTAGCCACTTAGTCACAAACACTGGTGAAAGTTAGCATTTATATTTGTTTGTGTATTAAAAATGCAATAAACGAATTATGAATGCTAACTTTGGCCAGTGTTTGTGACTAAGTGGCTTGTAAAAAAGACTGAACATACCCCATTTGCAATACCTTGGGTTGTCTTCATTTGAAAATAGTATGCCATCATGGGGGTAATTCTCATTCCTGGGCTACCATATGCTCTCAAAGGCATCATAACCAACCTGGGAAATTTCAATGTGAAAGAACGGAATTATATTTGACCCTGTAACTTTCAAAAACACTATAAAACCTGTACATGGGGGGTACTCTTATACTCAGGAGACTTTGCTGAACACAAATGTTAGTGTTTCAAAACAGTAAAACGTATCACAACAATGAGATCATCAGTGAAAGGGCTGTTTGTGTGTGAAAATAAAAACAACTTTCACTGATAATATCATCGCTATGATATGTTTTACTGGTTTGAAAAACAAATATTTGTGTTCAGCAAAGTCTCCCGAGTAAAACAGTACCCCCCATGTACAGGTTTTAGGGTGTCATAAAAAGTTACAGGGTTAAATACAGTGCTAGCTAACATTTTCCTCGACTTTCGGCTTGTGTTGTCAGGCAGGTCCCCGAAATTGCTATCAATAAAATCACTTAAATTATGTAAAAATATTACATAAATATGCACGTAGAATTTAACTATATATACATAGTTATATATTTGAAGTCTATGTGTATAGGTATGAAATGATGTAATTATGTATATGAACACATATATATATATATATATATATATATATATATATATATATATATATATATATATATATATATATATATATATATATATATATATATATATATGCGCGCGCACACACACACAGATCTATAATTTCATTCTAAGTGTATTTTGATATAAATATATTAATATCAAAATACAGTTAGAATAAAATTACATATATAATTTTTTATTATTAAAATTTATTTATACATTTTTTTAATATATATATTATATATGTATATATATACATACATACACACACACACACACACACATACATACATACACACACACACACCCCCAGACTAAAAAGTTTAGGAATGCTGGATTAGGCAGTCATAGTCCATCTTTTTTTTTTTTTTTTTTGCAGAAAAGGCAGTGTTTACACTGAAACGCCTGCAGGGACAGGCTATAGACACCAGAACAACTACATCAAACTTAAGGATTCCGTTAGGTGTTTTTTGTACCTTTGTGCTCCCGAAAGAGGCCGACCGCTAACCCCAATTCCCTGGAACTATTTTGGGCATAGGACCACGCAGGGTCGTCTTTAATAAATCGATTGGACACTGGGCAAGCATTTTCTAGGGCCCTATAGGCCATGGCCCCCCTCCCACTCCCTTACATACAATCACACCCTCGACCCCTAAACAGTGGCAAAACTAAAGTATAAAGATCCCTGGTGCAAGAATTTTTTTTGCCCCCCCCAATTGCAAGGTTGGACAAAAAGGTAAAACCCCATCTCTCATGCAAATCCAACAATGCATTGACAGGTGGGGTTCTACCAATTTCCCATGCTTGCAGGGTTGTATTTTGCACTGTTTGAGTGTAAGCATGTTTTTGCATGAAGTATGTTTGTCTGAATGTGTTAGAGTTTGGATGCAAGCGTGCATTTATGTGTAGTGTTTTTTTTTTCTTGGTTTTTTTTTTTTGAATGTGTGTTTATATATAATTTTGGTTCTCATACACACTGACACATATGCAAATACACAGGCACTTACACTGACACACACACGCAGACGCAGACATACTGAGACACACACACACACGCAGACATACTGAGACACACACACACACACACGCAGACATACTGAGAGACACACACACGCAGACATACTGAGACATGTAAAAACATTTTTAAACCCACCCTCCACTTTCCGATCTTTTGCAGGAGGATGGCTTCCCTGGGGTACTGTGTGGTGCCTGAGGCTGATGGGAGTGAGGACCCCCATCCTCACTGCCTTCTGCTCACTCCCGCTCTGCTCCTCCTGCTCCCTCCCGCGCAGCTACTCTCTTTATGGGAGGAAATGACTCGCGGCAGTCACTTCCTCCCATGTTCCCAAAATGCAAAGGGGCCCGGTCAGTCTGTTACAGGGCCACAGCACCCGACCGGGCCCCTGCTGATAGAAGCCCATCGGGTGTCCCCAAGTGCATGAGCCTCCTTAGAGTGGGGGCCCAAAAAAATTGTTGAGGGCAGCGGGGCCCACCAGGCGTTAAAGACAGCCCTGGGACCATGTGCACGGCCGGTCAAATAATGGACTTCCATGAAAAGCCTGAACCAATCTGGGTGATTTTTGGATATAAGAATTTAGGTGCCTATTGAATAAACAATAGTGATTACAGAGGTTATGGTAGTCATATCGGGTCTCATCATCTAACTTCAGCAGCTACTCATCATTGTCTATTGGTGTTTATCTATCAAGTTGTGTTTGATTTATGATTTTTGGATATGTTTGCTTGTAAATAGTTCCCTCTCAGGTCCATAGGGGAATGCCCCTGTATTAGGATTTGGGAATTCCCTTGCTTGGGGAGTTGCATAAAAGGCTGCGTGGCATCCAGACCAGGCAGGCTTTATCCCATCCAGAGAGGCCAAAAGATAATACTACGAAAATAATTAGCCTAATCCACAGAGCCCATGCAAATAAGATCCTCTCCATCATGTTGGCTATCGATACGGAGAAAGCATTAGACAGGGTGGACTGAAACGTCCTCCTGTCGACGCTGGAAGCGCTGGGTTTTGGTCGGAGGTGAATGCAATGGATCCAAGCGATCTACTCATACCCTTCAGCGAAGCTCAAAATCAACCGGATCCTGTCCGAAACCTTCCAAATAACAAATGGCACAAGGCAGGGGTGCCCCCTGTCCCCACTGCTATTCATCCTGGGATTGGAGCCCCTGTTGAACGCGGTGAGAAACCAGTCTAGGGTGAAAGGAATGAGGGTGGGCCGACACCAATATAAAAGGTAACCGCATTTGCGGACGATTATTCACCCAATCCGATCTCGTCCCTCCCAGCACTGATGCATATCTGAATATAGTGGCCTATCCAACTTTAAAATAAACACCGAAAAATGCGAGATATTGAACCTTACCCTACCAGAAAGGGACAAAACACGATTACAAACACAAAATGCCTTCCAATGGGCCACGAAATCTATCAAGTACCTGGGAGTTAACATAACCCCCCCCATGCCAAGATGCTGTATGGAGCCAACTTCTCCCCAGACTGTTATATCTATTAAATACCCTTCCAATCAACATTCCACGAACCTTCTTCAAGAAGATTCAGTCATTGTTTACTCAATTTATATGGGCCAAGAGACACCCGAGAATAAGATACCATATCCTCACTAGGCCTAAGGAGGGAGGGGGGGTGGGCCTACCGGACATTTAGCTGTACTACCAGGCGATCCATTTGGGCCGTATCATAGACTGGTCATTCCAGGCGACATCCAAACGGTGGGTCCCGATAGAGCAGGCTCAGGTAGGAGAATCATTGTCTGAACTGCCATGGCTGCTGACGTCATCTAGTGACTGGGCGGTCCCCACACACCCGACGGTGACACCAACAATACAGATTTGGAAAAAAATATAGAATGCCTGACATAGCCCCAACTCCACCTCCTAAATACCCTATAACCGACAACCCTGTTTTCATCGCAGGGAAAAGAGGTATGCAGCTAACACCGCAGAGGAGTAATAAGAAGACTACGTATATCACGTTGGCTGAGGTGGTGGGGGGAATGACTCCGGTTACACAGATGACAGATGGAAATGTCCCGACACTCATGCAGAGGTTCTAATATGGGCAAATGCGGCATTTCTTGAATGTGCAGGGCCTTTCGAACTGGACCCCAAACGACCCAACGAAATTTGAACGGTTATGCTCAGGAGATAAACTGCCCTCCAAACCGACTTCCTTATGTTACAAGCTATTACAGACCCAGGTACATACACAACTGCCATACTTTACCAGATTATGGAGGGACCACTTGGACATTGACTTAGAGGAGAGGGAACAGACGACTATCTTTAAAACAATCTTTCACGCACACGCTAGTGTCCCGTTACAGGAAATTAACTATAAGTTAATTTCCAAGTGGTACATCACCACGGTGGATGTAAATAGATTTGACTCTAACGCATCTCCCAACTGTTGGAGATGAGATTCAGATAGGGGCACATTCCAGCACTTATGAAGTTTGGAATACGGTCAACCTGGTGACAAACATGAACATACCTTTTAACCCAGAGGCACTCCTCCTATACCACTTTAAAATCCCACAAAGACGATTCAAGCATTCCCTAATTTACTTAATGTTGACGGCAGCTAAATGTATCATAGTGAGCAACTGGAAATCTACGGCATTACCATCTAGGAAAGATTGGTACCTAAAAATCGAACACTTCCATGGGATGGAGGAACTAAGATGGGGGTCCCTAGATAAATCCCATAGATACACAGAAATATGGCAACCATGGAAACACTTCTTGAAGGGAACGCAAGACCAACTCAGGGCACAGACACACTGATCTGATGGATGTGACGGGGGCGGGATATGAAGTTTAAGTTACATTACTTTATTACTTAAATATGTTAGAAACACAATGCCACTCAGACCACACATTACACAGGAGTCACGGCATGAACTTCCCTACACCCAAGAGATAGGGGGCAATAGTAAATGTATACCCAACAAGGTGTGAAGAATGATAACATGACTTAGGCCATTTGCCAATGTTACTGATAACGTGAAACTATGTAATAATGTGTAAAGTTCTGATGTTTGATACTTTCGCACTATTGTAATGTGACATGATATGTGCAAAAAAGAAAAGAAACCAAAAAATAAATAAAAATGTATATATAAAAAATAAATATATATATATATTTTTTTAAAAAGGCCGTGTGGCTCCCAATGAATCAGATCGTTTTACCCCTTCATTAAGTCTAAGCTCATGTTTGGGGGATTGAGAACTATACTTAACAACCATAATCACTACTCTGCTTGGAACCAGGAGCTATAAATCACTGCGGGCCTTGGGCTTTGGGAGACTTACAGCAGATATACTCTGCCGGAGTTTAGGGGATCCGTTACACAATCAAGATCAGGTCTCCCCAACAAAGAACTATTTAAATATATGAGAATATTGGACTTTCTTCGTAAAGTCCCAATATTAAATGAATCACCTCTAGGTAAGCTTCTATTGGGCGAACAAGGAAATATTTCTTCCAAGATTAGGAAAGTTATATATTCTTTGAATCAGGATATAAAATCTAGATCGATCATAGAATGGAAAAAAGAAATAGGGAATAAGTTGCCTTTCCAGTGACGGACAAATTCTTTAAAAATACTCTGAAAATCTAGTCATAGTCTAGTCATTACAGGAGACTTTTCTTTAACTTACTCATGGATGGTACGTGGCCCCTACTAAGCTGTGTAAATCTCCACCAAATACTTCTAGCCAGTGTTGGAGATGTAAAAGGAATCCCGGGTCAATAAAACACATTTGGTGGGATTGTGATAAACGGAACCAAAATGGCAGAGTTTACATTGCTGCTTAGTAACACCTCTAGTGATGGTCAGACGGCCACTAGCGAGACGTGCAGCACAGACGTTCAGTGTCTCCACGCTCTGCATGAAGGCGCTGAATGCTCCTCATAGAGGCTGATTAATGTAATGCAACTCTATGAGGAGATGCGGATTGGCACATTTGCTGTGCATGCACAAAATCCACCCAATGCTTTCCTAAGGGAAAGGATGGACTTAGCTGAAATCATAAAGATTGATAATCTCAGCCATTGTGGTTGGACATGCCACGTGCGATCGGAGGGGGAAGGTACCGAAATGCACACACACACATTGACAGGCTTGCGCACACACAGGGGCTGCTCTCTTCCTGCAGCTCCTCTCTGCTCCCTGCAAGCTCTCTGTAGTGATGCTGAGGCGACGTCATATTCTGGCTCCCTGCATCATTACATAGCGCAATGGAGCAGCAGGTAGAATACTGCTCCCTCGCGTGCTGCCTCAGCCTGCTAATGGCATGATACCCAAGGTGGCTGCCTCCATCCTCCCCAGGGTGGCCGGCTACATGCTGTCTCAGCCGGATGCCTCCATTCAAAGCTCCATCGACAACTAAAGAGCTGGCAAATCCCAGGCGCCAGGGCGAAATTTCTAGTCGCTGTAGCGACCTGGCATTTGTCGAGCCCTGTTCTAACAAATGCCAATACACAGAGCAATGCTGCCAGGGACAGACTATCAGCGGGCAGCCAGTTACCCACTACCAAACGTAGTAAACATAGGATTGCCTGCTAGCAACGAAGGCTGGAGGAATAACGCAAAGCTGGATGTGGACTGGCGCCTGTTTCTAAGAGAAGACATGAGATTTTTATTAATAAATACAGAAGGTGACGCGGCTATGGATAAAGATAGTCCCACATTTATTCAGTAATGGTAAGATGGCTGAAATAATTTAATCATTAGCATGCCAGCGGGTCTTTGGTGCCAATCCCAGCTCACAACCTTCTACCCGCCTTCCACTGTGACTAGATGAATTATGATATCTGGCCGCTGTGGGCCTCGGAAGTCAGGATTCCCAGGCAGCGCCAAGGAGAAGGGCAAGCGACACACAGAGTTTGTAA